CCAGTGTCTTTCGAATTTGGCAACTTCAAGATGTGTGGACTTCAACTCCCAGAATTCCCCAGCCAGCATGCTAGCTAGGGAATTCTGGGAGGTGAAGTCCATACATCTTGAAGTTGTCAAGTCTGAAAAACACTGTTTTAGACAAAGGAGCTTTTAAGCTGAGAGAGAGAGATGAGCTAGATTCACATACAGTAATACACTAGTCTAGGCTAAAATGGGCATTGGTTAATTTGTGGCTCAACGTGTGGTGGGAACTCAGCTATTATCTGTGGATGAAGCAGGACATCAAGTTTATTTATAAGTTTATTTGCTGGTTATATATCCTGCCTTTTCTCCTGGAGTCCAGAATGACTTCCATGGAATTCTCCCTTCTCTTTATTCTCACAACAATCCTGAAGGGTAGGTTGGGCCAGGCAGATCTGTAGGGTGGGTCACATAAAAAAGGGTTGGGCTTCAACTACACAATCAAGGCCACCATCTTGACTTTTTTGACCCTTCCTGAAGATGCTCCTATTGGGCTGATAGAGAATGATTGACCCAATAAATTTCTATGTGTAGACTTGAATCTGGATCTACCCAGTCCTAGTTTAATATTTTTAATCATGGCGCCATACTGCTTCTTGTGAAGCCATAATTTATTTCTTCCTTCTGTTTCTATACCACGCTCATAAAAGCATATGCCTTTTAACAAAATGTGTTGGTTGGAAAAGGTGCTACCAGACTCCTCCTGATTTTTTGCCACCATAGACTAAAATGGCTCTCCTCCTACACTGTTGGGATTGGGGAGACTCAGCTAGGAGTCCCCACTGGATCATGGAATAGATCAAGGGGACAGAATGAAGGGAGACCCCAAATATGCTGTCTTGAGCTCCTGGAGAAAAGGTGAAGAAAAAGTGAAGAAATCCAAAGGCTTGGATGTGCTAGAACAATGTTGCATCTTCGACATCTTGCGGTGTGGCTGAAATTGGCTTGGGTTGAGCAGAGGAGCAAGATACAGTCCCTGCACATGCTCAGAGGCAATTTCTCAATCATCACTGCTGCCATTTTTTTTTCCTTTTTTAAATCAGAGTTATGTGCTCTGGCCTTCATTCAGATCCACTGAGCTTCTCCCCAGTCCCTCTATTGTGAGACTTCTTGGCTAATGTGAATTCTGTTGGCCGCCAAAACAAACAAACAAGAAAATAATAACACACACTTGGGATCAGAAACTTCTTCAACATGTCCTTTCCCCCCATAACCCAGTAGGAACAGAAAAGATTTTTCCCCCATTCTAGCACCATACAAAATTATTGTTTCCTTCTGTATAGCTTTTGGCAACATTCCTTTTTCCAAGAAAATAAACCCATTCAGCTTTTCCAGAGTCAGCCCATGATAGAAAACTGGGGAAACCAAGTCAGATTGCTCTGTGTCAGGCAGCTGTGGAAACAGCCAGGCCAAGAGCCAGAAGAAAGAAGGAATAGGCAGGTACCAGGGGTGTCCGCAGGGTACAGTAAAAAAGAAAAAAAATTCAAGATGGCAGCTACAACACTGTGATCAGAGCTCTGCCATTTGTGTGTGTGTGTTGCATGTAACACATTGGCTGCCATCTTGACCTTTTTTTACCACAACCTGAGGACATCCCTGGCAGGTGCTATCTATGATGAACAAGGTCTTGGCCAAACAGCATCACGGTACATGCAATGACTTGTGTGGGAGATATTCAAAGTGCCTGTCAACTTCCTTGAAACAGCTGTTCAGTGTTTCTGATGACGCCCTGAAAAGTCCCTTTGAAATGACCTTCACTGGAACAAGCATGGGAGGGGTGGAAGAGCTGGCTTTGGGGTCTGGGGAACCCAGGCAAGAAGTTGATCACTGGACTTTCTTGACCTGCAAGGAACAACAGCAGTGGAAGTTGCCATCAGGTGGGTCATGGAACTTCACAGGGCAAGGAAGATTCCATGGTTACTTTGAGGACCCAGGAATCAGCCAAGATCACCATGACAACAATTTTGTGAGAGTGCTTATAATGCTCTCAAAATTCCAAATGTGCCCATTGGCCCCAAAGGATAGGGAACACACTAATCTACTCTGATTTGCACTGGCCCTTGAGGTCTATCATCAGAACTGCAGAAGATCCCAGTTGGACTAGGCATTATATTTCTCATAGTCATCAATCTGATGCCTCCGGGAAGACCACCAACAGGACCTTCTCCTGCTTCTTATCAGTTGGATACCCAGAAACAATACTGCTCATAATCGCAGAATTTCATTATGTATAACCATTAAACAGCAATCTTCTCCTCCTTCATAAATTGGCTCAGTCCCCTTTTTCTAACTAGTGGCCAACACTGGGCCTTGTGGCACTAGGTTCCAAATAGGATCCTTCCAGCAGAGACACAATGCTTTTGAGAACTTGTGATCTCCTGCATGCAAAACATATGCTTGGTGTTTGGACTATAGTCCATATGAGCCAACTTGGCTTCCCAGGCAAGGAAGCCACATCAGCAAATTCCCTTTTAAAAAGTATTTAAAATGTCATCCTCTCAACACTGTGATATAAATTAAGTCCTACTAAATCATGATCCCTCCATTACTGTCCATTCACCCAATATTTTGATGCCTGCACTACCCTCCTCTGAGAGACATCACAATATTGTGCTCCACATTAATTTGGAAATTCTCCCTCCCTTCATCTTCTGGGTTTGGGGAAGTACACTCTAAATGCCCTTCTTTGGCTAGTAGAGCTCAATTTTTCTTGTTTACGGCACCAGACTGAATATTTTTTGATCTAATCAAACAGATTTGCTTAATGCCTTCCAAACGTTGACATTCTTTCTGAAAACAATGGCAGTGGGCCAGTGAATTTGCTGCCAGTGCTGGAAAAGGCATTGCTTTCTGGCATCAAAGTCAATAAAATAATGGGCTTCTTAGGTGGTAAGGAAGGAAGTCCATATCCTTGGAAAGGAAGACTCCCAAAACTTCTCAAATGTGCCATGCCTTCCTCCCAACATATCTCCGTTGTTCAGAGCAAGGTAGATATTTTTGGCTGTGGTCCTAGGTGCCTCCACTATCCAGAGCACGTTGGGTGGTATGGGAAGGAGCAGGACTCTGTTGGTGATGGCACCCAGATTGCAGACTTCTGTGCCAAACCTTTGCTTGACACAGGTTTTCCTTAGCAAGGCACACCACAAAAGGTGTAGATTCATGCTAAGAGTTTCTCTGGGTACATGCAAACACATTTCACTCACCAACAAGTGTAACTAATATGCCCTACCTACTTTTTAGAACTTGTAGAGACACACTCCTTTTTTTTAATGTGTTCTTCTGAGCATATGCAAAGTATATTTCAGTCACCAAGTAAGTGGGAATCTCATATATCAGGATCTTCCCTAGCCCTACCATCATCTTAGAAACGTTTATGACAGCTTCTAATCGCTTTTTTTCTTTCAAGGAACTTTTTCACTTCCCAGTGGTTGCTCAGAATGTTAAAACTCTGCTCTGGGCTTCTATTATTATTTTTTTCATGTTGAATTTTGTGTTTTTTACTTAAGAAGTTCAGCGCTGTTTGGTGCATTTTCAGGAGGATCTACTCAGACTTTTCTGAGAAGTTGACACCGTCATCTTCAGCTGGATCCCCCAAAACCTGAATCTACACATCTCAGAGCCCCAAGCTCTAATTCTTTCCCATCATTAAATTGTAAGCTGCACAAGACAAGGATCTGTTTTACTCAGTGTTGTGCCCAATTAATTGTCACATTTACGAAAAACAGGCATAAGTATTGCCATTTTTCTTGTAAGTTCTTTTCAGCAACTTGGTCAGGAGGGTGGATGAACATTATTCTGTCTTACAGCTGAGCAGCAGAGGCTGTGGGTGGGTCGTTCGTCCAGACCCGTGTGTTGAGTGTGGCAGGCCAGAGGTCCCCAAACTGAAACTTCCTGGATCCCGTTCTTTGGCTGGTTTGCAAAAGGGCATATCGGTTTTCCCTTCTGACAGAGGCTGTAGGGCCCTGACCCATCTGGGACCCTGCCTCCTGTCTGGGCTGAGCACCGATCCAGGGGTCGGCTGTCTGAACACAAACAATTTCAGCAATTGCTTCCAGGGGCCAGTTGGCTCCATCTCACGGCTCAGCCGCTTAGAGAACAAACTCTTTGCAGATAAGTTATCTCCAGACTCTCCAGCTTAATTTTCCCCTGCGCCCCTCCTTTCTTTGTCTCTTAGTGGGGACCCCCAGCCCGGCTCATCTTTCCTGCTTTCTTCCCCAGCGCCTGCGGAGTGCAAGAGGCGCCCGCGTCCCAAGCCAAAGGAGCCCTCCCGCCAGCGACCTGCCTCCCCGTCGCCCCCGCCCGCCACCTGACCTCTGGCCTCGGGGTCTGTTCTCTGGCCTCGGGGTGGGGCGACGGACCCAAGGGGTGCGCTGCTCTACCAAGCTGGAGGAAGTTCAGTCCCGCTCTTTCCTCCTCGCTAAAGTCTCCTTGGCAGCCGCGCTCGCTGTTGGCAAGAGATGCGCCGATCTGGAGCGGAGCAGCGCGAGAGAAAAATTGCAAAGGGAAGTCAGCCCAGGCTGTTGGAGAGACTCGT